CTTGGTAATTTTATTAATTTTTGGCAGTATAAGAAAAAGATGTGATTGGAAAAAATTATTAATAATTTAACTATTTTGGATTACATTGAAAATTTGATTTTATTTGAAAGGAACTGATACACAATAATAAGAAAAATTTCGAAAAATTTTGCACATCTCTTCTTTAAATTCCCCTGTATACAAAAGTGTAAAAATCCTCACTCTATATTGTAAATTTTCTCAGTAGCTGCAAGTCAGTAAACCATAAATGCCAATAGCGTGCAATAGAAAGATTTAGAGAGCAATAAATCGTATTATATCAATTTTAACCTTGAAAACACTTGATTTTATCATTTCGGATTTTTTTACTAATCAAATCCGTATTAACTGTCAGAACTTCTTTTATATACTCTTTTATAATATAAAATCAAGAAATAATTATATTGCGATCCTATGTTATATTATTATCTAAATTATTATGAATATGAAGATATAAATAAATTTTTTGGAAGGCAAACAAACAATTAATAAAGTAAGATCTGCCGCACAATTAAAAATAAATCAATTTTCAATCAAAAGCTTTGTTTAATTTTACTTAATTTATATATTAAATTTATATAATTAGCAATTATAATTCTTGTAAAATTGATAATAAAACTTGTGCCTTAAGAATAATGTATTAGGTACCCCGCATATATCAATTTTATCGAATATCTATGTAATTTTATTTAAAGACAACATTTATAATTTGCGTCCATCTATTCACAAAAGAATGATATTTATATTTATAATTTTATACATAATTTTAACGTATATTTTTATGTATACGTACATTTTAATTTTATGTTTTATATATATATATTAGGTGTACAAAAAAGTTCTGAGCTTTAGATTTGATACAACCGAAATAACAATTTAAAAAATATATATATATAATTTTTAATTACTTCTTAAATATATTATACAGTATGTAACATTATATATTATATTTTATTATAAATTTTGTCATAAAATAAATATTATTTCAAAAGAACTTAAGCTTTTTTCTTATTGCAATAGATTGATAATTTTCCAAAAATTGGAATACAAAATTTTAATCCTTAAATGTATAATAAAAATTTGCAAAACAATGTTAAAATTATGTTAATAAATTTAAATAAAATCTTATTAAGAATGAAAAATGTTAGTATATGTGTTGAAAATTATTTAATATTTTTTTGTTATTTACTAAAGCAAATATTTATTTCTAAATTGTAATAATTGAAACAAAATTAATGTCTGGAAAACAGTGCGTAATAAAAATTGAAAACAGCTTCTCTCTCAATTATTTATTAAAAAACAAACAAGATAATGAATAAATATACCTTAGCGAGAGAATAAAAGTGATTCGAATGAGATATTACACATGCATAGAGTGGCAAAAAACGATTCTTTGTGGTGTTTATACATTATACTCTTATGTGTAAAAAAAGGCAATTTTTGAAATTATTAATTTTTCTAAAACAAACATTCACAATACTTTTGTTACAACATAATTTTTTCTCATTTATATACATATAATGCATATAGTCTCCAAAAATGCCATTACAAAAAGACCGATATCATTTTATATATGCATGTAATTTATATATATTTCCATAACTTTCATATATTTATATAATAATTTTCGGCTTCATGCGAACGTGAATTGTTGCTATGATACAGTAATACAATAAATTATCAAGTATTTAAAATAAATGGCAAAGTTATTTAGAAACTTATTGTTATATAACATATATGTAAATATATTTTTTTTATTTATCTATTATATAATGTATAAATTATAATAATTTGCTTTCCTATTCTGCGTCACTTCCTTTTGTTTCCGTTTCGTAAGACGTTGGCGATCGAAATAAAGAATGTTAACGCTTATGTTTACATTGACAGATATACAAGGTGTGCAAACTTATTATATAATATAATCAAAATCCAAAAATTGAATATAATCGACGGTCTTTACGTCGCCAACAATTATCTGTTCACGGTGAGAAAACACTCGAAATACCGTGGCAGAACAACGCATGCTTTGATTTTATTTCAGTGGAAATTGAAATAATAGTGAGCGCCGCATATGTTCGACTTATTTGTACTAAGATCGATAAAATCGTAATTATTGCCACTGGGTATCGTCGCAGGACGCTTATAACAAGCGTGAACACTAAATTCTTACAGTTTTAACACATTGCAAATATTTATATTGCATTTATATTAATTTTTAACATATTTTGTTAATCTTATAATTGTTTGCAAAATATTTTATTTAATAATCTTGTTTGCAATAAAATCTTTAAAAATATGTAACAGTTATCACTTATAGGAATTTTTGATATTATATATTTACTTTTGTAAGAATGCTTTAAATTCCAATACGACTTTAACAAATACATCAATTATTATTTAAAAGTTCATTATAAATTAAAATACAACTTATTATTCGAATTTAATTTAACAGTAATATTGTTTTTAATTCGTTTTAACTAATTTATTGGAAAGCTAATTTTTCAAGAAGTTTCTTACACTTTTCATTATGATTGTTAATATTTTTTATAGTATTTTAATTTATTATTTATATGTTTTGCAAATCACATCGTTTTTCTAGTTTATACTTCATATATTTTTACATATTTTTTTCCTAATCTCGTAAGTGTGAAAATGTAAACAAGTTTTTGCTAACAATAAAGTAAGATTATACTTTAATGAACTAAATTTATTCTACCTGTATGTGTGTTGCATTTTAATCTTTGGCACTTCAATTGCACACTGGGATTTCGTCCCATTTGGCACGGGAGCCATCGCCCTTATCGGCAGCAACTCGTTTCACAAGCTCAGGGGACGGTTTCTTGAGATTGTAGGCCCATCCGATCTTCGCGAACATGTCGATGAAAAACGACGAGTGATTGAAAATATACCAATTAAACTCGGATGCACGATAGTCCCAAGGAAATGTGTGATGATAATTATGAAATCCTTCGCCACTACAAACTACACTCACGCTCATATTCTCTGTCGGTCGTATATTTCTAGAAATTAGAACAAAATTGTGATAATAAATAGGAATAGATTTTATCTATTAAATATTGTGTATTGAATCAATAAAAAAATATTTTACAATTCTCAACATTTCTTAAAAAATCCTCGCGAAAACAGTAATTCATTTTACACTTAATAATCTGTCGGAAAAATCGTTCTTGTACCTTAAACATGCATAAGCGATATCGAATATAAATAATATTGTCGTAAATCCATCCAAAAGGACTTACTTATTGTATGGCTTGGTACCCCACGTGTGAGCAAAACTGTTTATGGAAAAACTTGCATGTAACACCAGCATTACTCGAGCTACTTGTGAAATAAAGGATCTGTTCCAAGTCTCATCCCAGAAGTAAACTGGTATCAACGTGGGCAAGACATAAGAGAATATCATGTTCACTAATGTAACATATCTGCTAACAAAAAATTAACTGCATTAATATTTATTGTGTTGGAAAATTGCGCTGATAGAATATAAATAAATATGTAATGTGAATTATATGTAAATATTCAATTAACTTTTTATGAAAAGCGATGATTGGGTCTGCCAAAATGTCCCGCATATCAGTCTCACGTAACTTTTGAATGATTTCAGGCCTGAGTCTTCTTAGAATCCAACCTATGTGGCAAAAGAAAAAGCCGCGTCGGCTGTTGTGAGGATCTAAATCTGTGTCGACGTATTTGTGATGTACACGATGAATCCGTACCCAACTATAAATAGAGACCTACATATATAAAGAAATGTAGCATTAAGGCCTGTCCTCATTGAAGCCAATCGTCTGATCGGTAAAGCCGGGATGTGTCTTCAGAAAATAGTCTCGATCTTATAAATAGATTCCTAAATTAAAACTGCATGAATTTCCTGATTATTATGTAATATCTTTGACTCAATATTCGAATAAAAAATGCGCTTTGTATGCATAATAATTAAATTAACTTTAATTTAAAATGTAAATGTTATTGAGTTAGATTTTCGTAATAAATTGTATTTCGATTTACATAATAAATAAACTCTTTTGATTATTACCCCTCCGCTCGAACAGTAACAAACGAAAAGGATGAGCCTGAGCGGTAGATTAGCGCTGTACGATCGATGAGACCAAAATCTATGAGCACCAGCAGTTACACCGATGCATCCTAGGTTATACAAGATTAGTACTGAAAATATTTAAAAAAGTGTTAATTCATATGTATTTAATTAATTATAATAATTATAGTTGATAATTATAAAGTCGAGCATGGCTATTTCGCTAGTTTTAACTAATATTATATGACTTTAATATTATATGACTTTTGACAGAAAATATATCTTTTTGACGTTTTAAATTACATTACACAATCATGATTATTTTTTCAAAGCACAAGCATGCCCTTCAAATGTTCAATGTATTTTATTTAGAAACATTTATTGCAAGAAAAGCCTTGCTCTACTCTTGTTAAATAACTAGTTTACAACAAAAAATTACAATATAAAATTCAAATTTTTAAATATTTTTTACACAAACTTACACCACAAAGTTGTCTTTAAATTTTCAAAGTAGTTGAACGTGATTAAACCATAAAGTCCAATGGTGTGCATCATAAATAAGTAAAAGACCGTAAACCACACGATATCCGTTTTTTGTGTTTCTCTTTTCGTAATAATTTCTTCTTTGCACTTAATATCACACGTGTCATCATGAGAATTGTTTGGTACCGTGTCGTACATACTGATAGCAATAACTGTTTACGTATAAAGTATAATTATATTGTACTTGAAGTCACATCGATAGATACAGACTGTGCTCGTGGAGCGCTATTAGCGATATATTGAGTTAGAGTAGATAAAAAGAGTGTCGCCAATTATCTGGGAAAAATACATAGCGGTAATTTTAAAACATGAAAATAATATAAGATAATATAAAATAAATTAACAAATTGAAATAAAATTTGATTTTCGTATTAAATAATAAATGCTTCATCGTTTCATTGGAAATCCAAAATTATATGACTTATCTTTAAATAACGGCTTTCAAAACGAAGTCAAAATAGATTGATAAAGGAACATAAAAACCTCCGCAAAATAATAATGCAATTATATATTAAAATTAAATCACTTTACATGTATACATCGATAGACGTTTCGACTATGTTTCTTATCATTTTCAGTATAAAAATTAAACAGATATTCAATGCTACTTATAATATATGTTACGTCGTTATTAATAGTTTACAATTGAAAAATTTAATACAAATTGTTATATCATTATCGTCTGTCTATCTAGAAAGGATTTTTTGTCGACAACTTAGTTTAAACTTTATTTTTCTTTGTCCTTTTAATACTGCTTCGTTTAATGCAAACATTCATTGTTTAATTTTTGAAATCATCCCTGACATCTTAGATCCTCACAGGAGTCCTAGTTTCTATAATATTGTCACGATACACAAATCTATATTGTATAAACAATAATAACTCTCGAATGTTTGCACAGTAATACAAAAATCCTAATAACGACCAGTAATCGAGCAAAAGAAAGCAGATGTATAATTAATTAAAAAATTATTAAATATATATTAAATTTTTTAATTTATTATACATTTTGTTTTTTTTACTTGATTACCGGTCGTTATTAAGATTTCTATTCTTTAGTCATTCTTTAAATATAACAAATACAAAAGATGAAAGTAAGAGATAAAAAATTAAACTTCAAAATGGATAAAAAACTAAAAAAGTAAACTAAAATTTATAATTAATAAAATTGTTAAGAAAAATTATTTTAATAATACCTGTGAGTCAACGCGAAAACACCAAATATATTATAAAGTTTTATATATTAAAACCCTGACAAGATCTCATGAAGACATTTATCGGCATGTGACAAATAGAAAAAACATAAACATAATGTAACCCAAGTAAAGTAAGGAACTGGTGAGTGGAAAGGAGAGAATTGGTTGAAGGAGGAGAAGCTGACAAAGGAAGGAAAAATATATGTATGTCTGACAACCTCTCAGTATCGCTTTGCTTATTAAGTTCGTCTTTCTGTCTTTTTGTAAAAATCATTTCTGAAATCAATCTTCTATAATAAAAAGGTCCCATATCCAAAATACTCACATCATCCCAACCAAAACTGTGATTAGGTTTTTAATCTATGACTCGAAATTACTGACAAGGCGTCCGAGGATATATTAATGTATATAATAAATCCTCAGGTGCTCTGTCAGTAAAGTAAGGAACTGGTGAGTGGAAAGGAGGGAATTGGTTGAAGGGGGAGAAGAAGGAAGGAAAAGTGACAAAGGAAGGAAAAATATATGTCTAACATTCGAAAATTATTATACTTATTGTTTATATAATATAGATTTGTGTATTGTGACAATATTATTATAGAAATTGGGACTCCTGTGAAGATCTGAGATGTCAGGGATGATTTCAAAAATTAAACAATAAATGTTTGCATTAAACGATGTGAACTAAAGAGACTAAAAAGAAATAAAGCTCAAACTATAGGTATCGACAAAGACAAACACTTTCTAGACAGACATACGATAATGATATAACAATTTGTATTATTAATTTTTATATTGAAGATTACCAGATACATAGTCGAAACGTCTATTAATGTACATATGTAAAGTGATTTAATATATAATTGCATTGTTACTTTACAGAGGCTTTTATGCTCCGTTATCGATCTATATATGGCTTATATTAAAAAGATTATATTATAATCTAATATAATAAAAAGTTTTTATTTTTATAAATACATAAGTTTTACAATTAAAATAATATAATTTTTAACAAAGACTGTGTTAATCATGCACAGATAATTATATTAATTTTGTATTCAATTTTGTATTAAGTTTATTTAAAAATTATTATAAAATTAATGTCTTATATATTTTAAATAATTATTTGTAATTAATTTAAAAAATTTTATAATTATAATTATTACATATGTATATGCTTACTATTTGTTTAAAAAGTTTCTTAAGAAATGAGGTAAAACTCAAAACTGCCATATATACATAGATTAAGATTGCCGAAATTGCACCACTTTTCACTTGAAATCTCATAACGCAAAAATTATGAAGAATTAAGAAATTTTTCACAGCATAATAAACTGCACTCTTTTCTTTTTCACGTGTAATTTCTTTGTAATTTTTTTGCGTTATTATAACGTTTAAAATGAGGATTTAAAAAAAAATTTTTAAATTACATAAGAAAAGAAAAAAATTGTATTTTATTATACTTTTAAAAACTTAAGAATATATATAATTTCTGAAACACATGATAATTTCAAGAAGTAATTTAAAAAGTTTCTATGTGAAACAATATTAACATTTCATAGGTTTACAGTAACATTTTTAATATATATTAATAAATGAAATAAAAATGTAAGAAATGTAAAAATAATAATATTATGCAACGTGCGATTTAGAAGATTAGATTGTAGTACGATTTAGAAAACTGGGACATTTTTAAAATTTGTACTTATTTAATATATAAACAAAAATGTAAAGCAAATTTTAATCTAATTAATTTAATTTTAATAATATTTTAATCATGACAAATTTAATTTTAAGACTTAGGCTATTTAATTATATATTTTTTCTATAATTCTGTTATAAAATACGTTGAAAAATAGCAACACTCTTAAGATTTTTTTATTTATGTAAATAACAACTCAGATAGCCAAATGAATTCGAAACGCCGTTATATTGCTGCAGTAGATGTTGACAAACTAAGGACAAGATTCTTCCTCATTATGCGTGAAATGTTGTCTTCACATAAATTATAAATTTGATGATAGCCAGTTGGTAGCATCTTGATGGTATGTAAAATATATGTGTCATTAATTTATTATTATGTTGCCGACACGATACTATATAAGAAATGTGCGAGCTCATCACGTGCCATTATTTTGCTGTCAACAAGGTGTTATTAATTCTCAATGTTTGCTCTTAAAAGCGTTGCATATAATTCTTAAATAACCCGTAAGAAAATATACATAAAATACAATAATGAAATTTTTAGCAAAGTAGTGCGATTCAGGAGCTGGTGCGATTTCAACAACTTTACTCTACATACCTAGATAGTCAAATCTGTCAATTTTGTAAAGTATTTGCAAAAGTTATCGGAAAAATACCGACAAAAATATCTGATAATAAAATATGATAACAGAGTGACTAAAAAATCAAGAGAATTTACTATCTTCTAATCAATTTAAATGATATATTTTATTTAAATACCCGGACAGCTAAGTCTGTTAAAGGAATGCTAAAGTCGTCTGTCTTATCGACTAAATCATGTAATTTTTGTATAACAATTACTTTTTTCCTCTCTTACTTGTTTAAAAATTCTTTTTTAAGATTAAAGTATGCACATTAATACATGCCTGTGAGGTGGAGTCAATGCCCAAGAACGACAAAAAATTTCGAAATTGAGATCTTCTTTACCATTTCTTAGTCCAATATGGCACTCCAGAATTGTCACATCGTGACATTCGCTTTATATAACAGCTGTTCACTCTGTACTTACGAAACAGTAGTCCATAGACTAGTAATTTGTGAATAAGAGAAACAGTATGGAATTTTTAAAATTAGACTTCTATTAAAAGATGTCTAATTAAAATGTAATTGTTATACGAAAATTTATGTGTATATTTATAGCCAAGCACAATTTACTGTTTTTCTAATATTAGAAAACAAATATCGAAAAACGAGTAGGCCCTGTATTATGACATCATAATAGTAAAATCCCATTTCTGCCTGGAAATTTGTCTATAAATGCTGAAACAAATCAACATTAAGCACATGAATTGGCGACACTTTTTTTTCTACCTATTCTATATCATATTATTTTACTTCGATCTCTTCGATCGTGTAACCAGGTGGTTTACACCGTTGCTAAATGCGACAGTTAAAAAGTTCATAGCGTAGGAGTTTCGCGCTTTTGATAAATTCAAGCATGCTTATCAAGACTTTATGACTGGCTGCGTTACAAAGAGCTTCATAACTGCACAATTTCCACTATTCATCATGAAAATAGTTCTTTCTATTAAATCCCTCTCCACACTGAATCTCACCGTCTTCTCGGTGTCATCTTCTCCCGTCGTACCTACCCATCTTCTCAATTTATCTGTTCAACCCATATCTTCTCAATAAACACTTCATTGACTCTTTTCCAAGGTCTTCTTCTATTTTTGTGTCATCCCGTTTGTTCCTACCTTCTAACCATAACATCTCAAAAATCTTTACCTTTGCTCTTATCACAGCTATTGATGTTTAATATCTTTAAGCGCACAAAATTCACTTCCGCCGGTCTGCACGAATCTTTAAGACATATAATCCTCTTATTCACAATATCTTTATTATCTCTTCTTCATATTTTCAATCACTTCTTATCTTGCAACACTTTTCCAACCTTCTGGAAGCAATTAGTAATTTTTCCAATTCTCAAAAATCGCAACCCCTCTTCACCCTCCTCGCTACCCTCTATTTCTATTCCTTCTTTCCTCTCCAAACTACTCGAGCAGATTTGCTTTAAGCAATTAAATATCACTTTCAGGAAGGTTAACTATTAATAGATTATCTATTTCCAATTGATAATCCAGATTTCACAATATGCATATCGAAACAAGTTGTTACATTATTTGATGTACTGTACGGTTTAGTAACTAAATTATCACAATTAATACTAGAAATTTAAAATGTCTATTACAGCCGAAGCTGGATCTTTATTGCTTTAAATAATTCAATCTTGAGTAATAACACTAATATACATTATATATGCATATATATAGTATATTTGCATATATACCATATTAGTAGTAGTCTTTTCAAATTGCGCGCTAAATTATTTTTCTGGACTTATAAACACAATTAAAACTACTGTAGTAATCGCGCAATAAATTGACAAGCAATTTTAATAATTTGATGCTACCATCAAGCATCATATTATAAAGATGTTAATATGTTGAGACTGTTAATAAGTTTATTGCGAAAAATATTACCTCAGCCAGGACTTGAACCCGGATCTCTTGTATTTCGTACGAGTATCCTAATTTGTAGGCATTTTAAATTTCTAGTATTGATTGTGTTTCTTACACGTACGGTCTTCAAAATAAAGATTCTTAACATTGTTAAAATTATCACATATATATAATTAGCTAGATCTTATCCTCGTGGTAATAAGTTATTTTTGTCATACTTTGAAATACCACGAATGCATCTATGTCCCGATTACAGCAATCACGCATCTGTAGTACCTCTGACCTCTGACCGCGACATCGAGAGGCTTATGAACCAGAAGTTAATCGATATGTGAAAATAAGAATCCTTTGTGTGTACGTTATACGAATTCGCGTCAATTTGTGTGTCACTCAGTATTTCCTTACTCGTTTGTAAATATCATTTTAAAAAATGTAATACACTAAGAATTTAAAATTTTAAAAAATAAAAATGTAGAACTTCGTTTTTTCTAATCTATTTAGATATGTCATCTTATGCGATACTTTAGCAAGAGAAGAAAAGTTAACGCTAAAATTATTTAAAAAGCAGCAAAAAATTAGATTGGAACAAAACAACTGGAAAATTGTGAGAATAAATCTCACAAGCTGCTTTGTTTTGTATGATCGATGAGATAATGATTTATGAACGTCAGCCATGATGCAGCGAAAAATATAAATACTATAAATTACACAGATCTGTTTACTCACAAGGAAAATCGGCAAATGTAAAATAAAAAAGAATTTGAAACTTTGCATAAGTTTAGAATAGATGGATCTAATTATAATTCTTTTAAACTGTTTATATTTGATTTTAGAGGTGAAAACACTTTTGTTGCGAATCGGTTGTTCCGCGAGAACTGATTTGCGCTCTTATAAAAAGAATGGGAAATAGAGGGAAGAGCAGCGATAAGAGTCAGGCTTGAGAAATCACTTTCCTTTCACAGAGAGAGAGAGAAAGAGAGAGAGAGAGAGAGAGAGAGAGAGAGCGAGAGAGAGAGAGAGAGAGAGAGTTTCCTTTTTTTTTAACAATACTGAATCTGTATTACACTTCGAGACGGCGGACAGCCGAGTGACTGAGATCTCGAATCAGAATGCGAGCAAAAATCTTCGGTTTGGTCATAAATGCTGCGAATTATTGCGACCAATAAAGACCTTTCTCAGAACTAGTGTTGCCTCCAGGTACGAAAATCTTGACGCAAAAATAATATAGTTCGTTCCGTAGCAATCAAATTCGCGAACGCACGAGGCACTCACCCTCGGTGCAATGTCGATATTGGAGAGTTCACTGTTAAGAGTCTACATCAAAGATGTCGTGGTTTCACGGATCACGAAGAGAGACCACTTCGTATTTTTTCGTTATGGAGCAAAATACGCGTATACATACACAAACGTTGAAAATGAAAGTCTTGCAAACGCCGCCTTCGAGAATAACTTACGCTCCCGGGACTCCAAGTACAAATCGATCATCGTTATAGAGAGATATCTCCAAGTCGGGTCTTCCTCCTAAGGGAAGTGCGTGAAAGCATATATTCGGTTACTCGCGCAGTCGCGCAGTCAGACAAAGGGCGAGGATTGTCCTAATTCGCGAGACCGATAAAGATAGCTCAATGCGCAACGTTACAATACAACACTCTCGCAATTTCGCATGCGCCACCGGCAGAACCGACGGACGTAAATGTTGAGTTCCACCTTTACACGCTGAGATATTCTTGGATCGCTTTCGCGGGAAAATTGTTCGATAAGATACGAACACTTTATTCAAGTTTTGACATTACGCTGATTCCGGAACTTCTTTGGAAAAAAAAACGATGTTTATGTCTACGCAAATATCTCTGAAGTAATAAAAAATATAAAAAAATATTTTGAATAGAAATGTTTTATGAATAATAAGAATCTTTATTGGAGCGTACATGTCAAAAACACAACCAATAGGAAATAGAAAATAAAAGTATAACAGTCCATAACAGGCAAAGCTAAATCTTTAATGTTTAAATAATTTAATGTGAATTTATATATATTACATATGTACACGCATACACCATTTTATAGTCATTTGAATTGAGCGCCAAATTAATTTTTCCGAACTTAAACACGCAGGTAATGATATCACAATTAAATTTTGATGCTTAATAGGCATCTGTTAAGAAGATCTTAGTATATTGGAAATCTGTAAATAAATTTATTTATTGCGAAAAATATTATCACTGGGACCTCTAACATTCCGTACGAGCGTCCTAAGCCTTTAGATTACCGAGACCTTAATAATATTCTTCATAATAATCAGTATATATATGAAAACAACGTTTATCTTTCAAACTACGTAATATAACAAGTTTTATGGTTTTGCAAGCGCTTTATAACGGCGTTTGTGGTCATTAAGAACAATTTAATCCCGAAAAAGGTTTGAAACTCTATATCTCTAAATTATTATCTTATTTTGAAATGAGACTTGATCTGTTATTTATCTGAAGTAAAGTATTCTCTTTGCGCCTAGACGCCAGGTATTTCATGCCAAATTCAACTAAACGTAACAAAGATGTGTTCCATAAACGGCGCGCGCGTGTTTTTAACAAATAAGAAAAGTTAACATTTTTATAAAAATTTTATTAATTTTATTACAACTTATAGTTATTACTTGACATCTCTTCCCAAGTAATCTTTTCTATCTGTAATTTTTACGCTTTAAGTAAGATGACAGTAAAACAGTTCGTACTAAACTTAATCGTGGATTTTTGTAAATTATACATATATTTTATATA